CTACCCTTCCTGAAAATTGAGCTAGGGCGAAAGGGCTTCATAGATGTCGCATGGTGTCTCCCCGCCCCTCTTTCCCCTCAGGGTTCACTCCGATGGAAATAATTTTTAACCCAACAGGTGTCATATCTGATCGAGGGGACCAGCGTCTCCCTTTTACCCCCACTCTCTTCACTTTCAGCGTTCTGGAAATTTTGGAAGGAACGAAATGCCAACTACTACATTCTGCTGTTACGATAGGAAGCCCCACATCCAGAAATTTTTCATTTCCTTCATTCATGATTCAAACTAATTACCTCGATCCGCACAGTTGTCCCTACCAAACGGGTACGCCAGTGAGAGGAAATAGGGAGAAGCCAAGAGTGGTTATGAGGGAAAACCAACGGATGAGAAAGATTATGCTGGGGGAGACGGGGAAACAGCGCAAGGGAAGCTGTGCGTTAGGAGTTCGTCCTTCGTCCTTCCGCCTCGACTACTGAAGAAAGAATAAGCCAAAGAGGCTTCTCCGCGGCTCTTTACATTTGCGCATCTCTGTGACGTCACTCCTCATGCGCGCATATTCATGACCTCTGTGGAGCATCCTCAGCGGTTCACGAGGCTCTCGCCACAACCATCCTGGGCGACCGGCTGAAAGGGAGGGAGAGGGGGTCGGGCCTCATCCATGACGCCTTTTTCCTCGATCGCTTCGGACACCTTAACCGCCAGGTTACAGAGAATTTAACCAGACCTCCACGGGACTCGTTTTGCTCGATTTGCACGAAACTGCGCCCAATTTAGGAGGAGGCACTCGGTGCATTGGCTCGTGATGGAAATCTCTTCGGGATGATCTCGTGGTTTTGCGATCGATCGTGCCGTTCTCGTGCGAATTTGCACAATGCAAATTGTGCCTCGCAGAAGAAGAAAACCATGGAAGCGATGAGCGATGTCAATGGTTCGCTGGTCCACGGGATTCATAATATTTTTCCATCTCACATCTGTACAAATCGGCACTCCTCATCCACCATTCATTGTTTTGAGCGCAGAAATCTAATTTTTCGCATTTCACCCGAAAATAATTTCAGGGGAAAGCAAATTGGAAAGCAAATTCGAAAGCAAATTTTTATGAAAATAGTGGTACGTTAGCTCAGGATCTTGTTTTTTTTTTTCCATTATTTTTTTTTTTCCCCGTGTACGTGATGCTTGCTTTTCGCGGAAATTAATTTTTGTCTCACACTGTAAGATTTTCTGACAATGAAAACGTTTTTCGCAGGAAAATCCCTCTGAGCAGGACCCGATTGCTATCAGAAATTAATGCGCAAAATCGCACTCAAGTTCCATCGTCTTTCCAAATGGAAGGTTTCCCCAAGACGAGTGGAATTTGGGGTTAAACTAAATAGAAATGAGTCAAAAGAGGGAACTGCCCTGAATGCTCGTTAGTCCTTAATCCTTCGGGACCTTAATCCTTAATCCTTCGGGACCTTAATCCTTAATCCTCCAGTCTGCTCGAGAAAATCAGCCAACACATTGCCTATCGTTAAAATAGTTGATGCAGCAGGAATAGTTTTTTATTTATTCAGGAATTTAAATCGGTTTCTCCAAGCAGCCTTTTACGGTCGTCGATAAAAAATTGACAATTTTCATTATTGACAATTTTCATTATTGACAATTTTCATTATTGACAGTTTTCATTATTGACAATTTTCATTATTGACAATTTTCATTATTGACAATTTTCATTATTGACAATTTTCATTATTGACACCTTTACTTCTCGGTTATGGGCACATTTAGGAATCGCTTGCTTTCTTCTTTCGAGAAAAAGTATTTTGACCAAATGATCGGGTCCCAAAATATGGGAAGAAGGTATTGCATATAATTGACATCAGGATATTTTGCCTCCCCTCGGTAGCTATTACGATCGCCGAGGTCGATTACCGCAGAGATCGAGGAGGGAGGCACTTTCCGAGCCGATTTCGAATTGATTCCGAGTCCAGCTTCCAGCGGGGATCGACGGATGCGGGGAGGCAAAGCCTTTCAACTTTAATGAAAAGCAATCTTGGGGGGGGGGGCGATTTGCATTATTCCGATAGTGAATTAGCATATTAGGATTTTGAAAGCGCCTCTCCCTTGATCCGCCGTCGGTCATTCCTGAAGGTTGCGCTTCAAGGCCGCGATTAGTAGGAGAGGCCGAAACTGTTTTTATTTTTATTTTTATTTTTTCCCGGCTATTGACGATTGATTGACCGGCAGGCGAATGCATAAAAGTCGGTGTCTTGCACTTTCTTATGACTTAATTGGCAGGTGCAAAATTTCCCCCTTTACCTCATCTCGGGGGCGAGAGTGCACAGTGCACAGTGCTCCCGATTTCACTTGTGCGGTGGACACTGAAGGCGGCTTGGAGCGGATAGGAACGATAGTCCCGCATGGATTCAGAAATTATTGTTCTTATGAAGAATCTTACATTGCAGTCAAGTGATGATGCACAAATTAGAAGGTAATACAGCTAATTAAAAAAAAAAACTTGCATCCGAACGAACTGCTTCCGAAGGACCAGATGGTCTAACCGAGGGGTTAAGCTCAAATGGCTGTGAGGGCCATTTGCGGTTTTTACTCACCTGGCCGCGGGCCGCAGCTGGCTGGCCGTAGCTGTGGCCAACAGGGCAGGAGCCGTTGTGGCGGTTACAACGCCAACCATGGTCTAACCATGGTCTAACCAAATGGCACCGCATGATACAGGATTGTGACGTTTAAAAAAAAATCAATTTCGTTCAGGCTTGGATGAACCATTTTGGTTAATCCAACAGGCTTGGATGAACCATTTTGGTTAATCCAAGCCTCTCAGTATTTGTTTTTCTTTCTCATCCTGGCCACCCACACTTATCCAACACGATCAACCGCGATTCCAGGTGCGATTTTCGAAATCAAAGCCACGGGTTCAAAAACGTTCAAGCGGCTCTTCTGGGCATATATCCGTCTTACGCAGGGAGGGATGGCGCAACTGGGAGTTGACTTTGCTTCCCAAAGATTGAGGCAGGTTCATCAGTCATGGGATGTCGCCCCTGTGCACTTTCGCCACAACCGCCTGTCGATCAAAAAGGTTGAAAGGATGAAAGGATGAAAGGATGAAAGGGATTCTTGTCGGTCGGAATGGGGCGAAAGTGATGATAGAAGTCTCCAAGCATTTTGATGTTCCCAGGAGTGAAGCCTTCCCACGAGCGATGAGCTCATGATGAGCTCATGATGAGCTCATCCAACTCTGGACGAAGACCTATGGTGGCAGACAGCGCAAGCCGCTCTTCAGCTTTTCCTTCAAGGTAATTCTCAAGATTGAAAGGTAAATAAATAACAATAAATAGCAATAAATAACAAAATGAAAGGTAAATAAATAAATAATACAATGTTTTCCCGTTGCTTCCTCGGATATTTATTTCCTTTTACGCGAAATTTACCCTAATTAAAGCTGCAGCATCGCAACATGCGTTTACATTTTTTTTTCGTCTGTGAAGGCGAGGAGATAATGTGTGGAAATTATGACTACAAGTTACATTATTTTGAATAAAAGTAATATAATATATTATTCTCCGTATGGCTTCCTTCGTTGGAGGATTTATCACGAGTGACTATATCGTCCTTTGCTAGATTGGAACCAGTTCTGATAAGAGGAATTTATTTCGCGAGCAATGGTAATTCCTCCGTTTTATCTTCACGCCGTGCAAGGGGGAAAAAAAAATTTTTGATGGCGTTTTGAGACACCGCAGGTTGAAAGGGGATACATTTTTGCGCCCACCCTGTATAAGAGACAGAGAGACCGGTCTCACCTGCTATAGGGCGTTACAGACCGGTTTGTCGGTAATACAAGCGAAAAGAGCGAGACTTTCAGTCGTACTTTTCTTTCAGCGCGCTTGGCAACGACATCCTCGCATGGCGGGACTCGTATGGCTGCAACCGTGTAAACAACCGCTTCAAGGGCGTTCTACCAAGGTCGCCAGATATCTGCGTCGATGTCTGGTGCAGATAACTGGTGAAGAGAACGCGGAGTTTTTTGTTGTTTTCGAGGGGCTTCCCCCGCGCGCACGCGTGCTCCACGAGGGGCTTTCCTGCGCGCTCACGCGTGCTCCGCGTGAGCATGGTGCATGGAGTGGATGGAGGGGGACGGGTGGGAATTGCACAATTGCGCTTCCCTGAGGCAATTATGTGTTTCGTTACTCCTGGGTTTTCATGCTATGGGTCCACTTTGGTTTTAACAGGTGAATTACTTCAAAATAGTTGAAACGCAAAAATGCATTCAATTTTTTTCAAGGCATTTTTCCTAAGTTCAATATTGAAACTTTTGGGCTTCTCCGTCGGTGCTTCAAAATTCGCCGAAGTAAGTCGTTTAGTTAGTAAGTCGTTAAGTTAAGTCGTTGCTTCGGCAATCTCCTTCGACGGATGCTGAATGTAAGCTCTCGAAGCTTGCTTTTTGTTGTTTCATCGGGGTGGAAACGAAGGGGGGTCTTTAAGGGCGGAACTTCACGGTGTTTCAAGCATGATTTCTACATTAACGCCAAGTGCTTCTTTTTTAAGCATTTGGTATAATTTTAAAGTCTAAAGCAGCTCACGCGTGGAACGTGAGTGGCTTGTTGTAATGACAACAGCGTTGACGCCGGTCTCCGCTCACAGTCTTCATGTAATATTAAGGAACAAATGATCGGTCTTTCAACGTTGGTCGTCGGATGAAACGGTTGAACGGGGTTCGAGTCCGATTCGGAAGAATGATTGGTCCCATTGCAGGATGGGCTCCATTAGAGGACCAAAAGTGACTCAAGCTCGAGGCGATTGTGGGACTCCCCCCTTCCCACAACACATACGAATATCATTCACAAAAGCGAGTAACACTTTCGTAACGTTCGAGATCGCAACTTGAGTACTTTTTTGAGTCAGCTGTTTGGACTGACGACTTTAAGCATAATTTGGGCAATTATTACGCATGAAACCTAATTCATGATCCAGATCTCCATGGCATTCATCGTTCAACCAAAAATCAACTATTCTCTCGCTCGCCGCTTCACCAACGTACGTCGAGTAACACCAGCCGTTCTTGCCGTCGAGGAGGGTATCCCAGCATGCACGAGAAAAAACTCGAATGCAGACGACCTTCGGATGTGAGGAGGTCCTGGACGACTAGGATACGCTGCCAAAATGCAGAGCACCATTAAGAAGATCGTGATGAGGAGGCAGAACAGGCGTCCCGTCAGAGAATAAGACTCGAAGATGTGCGGGATCCCATGCCCGCTCAAGCCTGGACACGAAGAATTCTTCAGCCCAGCCCACCGGAGTCTTTTCTTTTTCTTTGCATTTTTCGAATCTAAAAAAGAAGACAAATGGATGGTATTAGTGTGATTAATGTGATTACAGGAATTTTAAATCTCATTCTGTGATCTTAAAATCACTCTTGATGGTTAAATTAGTTACCATGCTTACTATACTGCATTCTTATTTTTGGGAAAGGTTTTATCCCTCCTACGTACTTCCATGGACGCCGAATGTCCCATCTAAAGCGAAAGACTCAGCAGTGTTCAATTTCCTGATAGGAATGAGTTTTCGTGCGTTTTGCTCTATGATTTCTCCTCCGTCGCAGTGTTTAATTGGAATTGATTTTGAGATAATCAAATTTTCCTTGTATTCCGCATCTCGTCCATCGAGAGGAACGACATGAGAACATTAGGAGGTTGAGAAGATCTTATTCCTAAGCAATCTGGAGAGCGTGACCCAAATTGAATGAAGTTTCGTTATTGTTCCTCCTTGGCTCGCAGAAGAGCTTAGTTTGCATATTTTCGTTTTTCGCGAATTCCGTAACTGTGTCCGTGACGTTTCAACCTTGTTTTTTTTTTGCACATGCCAAACGAGAATGGTGCAATCCTGAGCAATGCTGCAGGAATGGAGACTCCCGTAAAAGGGATTCCATATGAATGGTCGGTGGTTTTCAGAACGGTATAGTCTTTTGATGAGGTGATAAACAATTTTTACATTCGTCATCCCGTCCACCCCGTTGAAAAGTGGCATGAGTGGGAAGCAGGCCGATTCCAGGTGCCGTGCGGTCGCCGGTGTCAGGAATGCTCCATGCTCTAATGCTCCCGATATATTAATTATTTTTTTCGAAGGGGGGGGGGGGGGGGGACTCACCTGAAAAACTGAAATGTTGCGGAATGCTTAAGGGATGGATGCGATTTTCATCGCGTTGTTGGTTTCAGCTCGTGATGACTTGAAATTAGACGGAACTCGGCTTGTCGGCATGATGCGACGAGAGAATTCCCGGTCATTCAATAGAAAGAAAAATTTGCCTGTGAAATGCGCCGTCTGAAGCATATCTTGAAACGATCTTTGACGGACGGGAGAACAATTCGCGATTTTAGATTTCGCGTTCATGCGAGAAAATTATCATATTCTCTCGCTGTTGCGAATGCTGTTACTTATAAGCACTATTCGATTTGCAGCGAAAGGGAGATGGAAGGTCTCGTCAGGGACGCTTCATGCCGGCATTCGCGGGGACTTTTCCCCATTTCCGCCGCGGAACACGCGACCCAGTCCATAATACAATTTGGTTTTGAGAGGATCGTCTCGACGAACCGTTAACCCGGGATCATCGGGAAGAAAGAGGAGAAAAGACAGGGCGTGCCTCGGGAATTCTTTACTTGCCCATTCCGTGCCCATTCCGTGCCCATTCCGTGCCCATTTGCATTTTTTTTTTAAATATACAAAATATTTAGCTTTAAGAGGAGAACTCCTCCCCTAAAATTAAGGAACGCTCGACCTCGACACGTGGTGTCCAACTGGGTGTTATCGCCTCTTCATACCACTAAACCACTTTGGACCTTGAACCTTTGCTCGATAGTTAGTACCATTTCTGATAAGAGCAATTCGAGTCACGATCGACATAAATGCTTGCATCTTATCTCCTCGCCTAAAAAAAAGAGTGAAAAAAGTCAACGCATTTTGAGATATCCCAGCTTTAAGTGGGAAGAATGAAGCAGACCGGTCTGTCAGTTATATTAGAGTGAAAGTAAAGGAATATCCAACGGAGCCGAAGAAGTCTGACTTCATCCGGTGAATCTCGTCGATTTATTTATTTTTCTGGTGCACTTGGCAACGACAGCGTGGAGGGCCTCCTGCCTCCCTCCAGACAGTGCGCCTCACCCCAGACAGTGGCCTCCCCAGACAGTGCGCCTCACATGCGCCGCGTAAACAAGCGCGGAGATAGGACTCCGAGCCCGGGGACGAAGGTCGCCAGATTGCGGTTGTCTGGTGAAGCGAACGCGGAGATTCCTGCTTGAGGGGGCCTTCCGCTTCGACTTGAACCTGGTCGATGGAATACATGAGTGGATGGGAGGGGAAAGTGGGCATTTTTTGGCTTCATTATCGGGTCGCGCTTTCAAGAAGTACTTATATGTTTCTCCGTCTCATATCCGAATTTATTATGTTTTGAATTCAATATTTTCATAATAAAATATCCTATAGGATTCTATGAGATTCTTGAAACGTAAAAATATTATAGGATTTTTTATTATAGGAATCATATATGGTTCCTATAGGATCCTATAGGATTCATATCCTTTAAGATTACAAAAGGAATCCCATAAGAATCTTAAACGAATCCTATGTAGTAATGTGAAAACCAATTTTCAAAGGTTTCCCCATTCTTCAACCCCAACCCCAACCCCAGCCTCAACCTCAACCTCAACCTCCCCCCCCCCCCCTTTCTCTACGGAACTCGCTAACTATAAAAGTCATTATCGGAATAATGTTCTTTTTTTGCATTTTTGAGCTCTTTTCCTATTCTACGTTTTATGTTCTATATGTCGTTTTCATATTCTGTATAAATCTGCCATATCATACCATATGTTATCTATTATGAATGTAATTACATAGCTGAAAATGACAAAACTGACGGGTGAGAGAAGGCCTCCGACGGAATCGAGCCATGCATAATTGAGTCCATCGTAGTGTAATTTGGCGCACAAAGTCCCGAGAATCCCAAGAAATCACCATGGAAACAATGAAATTTCAATGTCCATTGGAATGGACTATTCAGTCTCTCGGGGCCCATTTAAGAGAGGACGTGTAACGTTATACCGATTAGAGATCCGTTTCGAGTTTCATAAACCATTAACGTTAGTGTAACGTTAGGCCCATCAAGAGTTCCTCGAACCGTCTCGATTGGTTCTTTGGAGAGAAGGCCTTCGAGGAAACACGACATACAAGCTGGGCGCCAATCTGTTCACAATGGGATGTCCGTATGAGATGCCTCCCTGTCTCCCCACGTCGATCGGCCGCTGCTGATCGCCGGGTCTTCCAAAAGCGAGATTCAGTTCGCAATCCCGATGGAGATGGAGCTTGAGATGATTGCATTGAGAGAAGAAACGTGTCAAATTTTGTTCCTGCTGAGGGGGAAGATTGTGAAGATTGAGTTTTGTGACGGGAAGGGGTTAAAGGAAGGTAACAGGCGCTACCAAAACCTAACGATGAGTTTTTATGTTTTAAAAATTTTATAGGATTTTTTTTTCCCCCATGCTAAGAATTCCGATGAATTCCTTTTAATTAATTAATTAACTTCAAAACAGTTGCAATTTCATGATCAATTCACGATTCGTCGCAAACGTCCTTATTTGAATTTTGACTCTTTCCAGTCTCATTCCTTTGATAGCATTACTATAGGAATCCCAGAATTGGTTGAAGATTACAAGGAACAGTTAATAGCTGAGAAAAACTTTATTATAAAGCATACAACTGAAATATGGCACAATAAGCAAGTTTTGACCTACCGCAGTAGATCACAGTGCATATATAACTAAATGCGGGACGGCTGAGGCACGGTGGGAAGCGAAATGATTCCTAATTAGTGAATTTGCTGACTGGGAAGCCTGGTATAAATATTAGGAAGACTGCATTCCAGCAACTGAAAATGTAGCGAACAAGGTGAAAAATGATCGACCGGGAGTTCCGAAAAATTCCGACCCACCGTCACAAAATAATGACATAATGGCTAATTGCAATTTCAACCATTACATGGGCTTCATTAAGACCCGGGCGATCTGCTCAGACCAGGAGGAGGCAGATGCACAATGGAGGTCCCATGCCACACGACTTTCCTTGCGCTCGATGCCATCGAAAAGGAGGGCACAGGTTCCAGCTGGGTGCTCGGTCCCACTTCGTGAATCGGACGTCAGTCATTGCAGGGATTCTTGGAGAAGTGAGAGGCCGACATGGGAAGTGAGAGGCCGACATGAGAAGTGAGAGGCCGACATGAGAAGTGAGAGGCCGACATGAGAAGTGAGAGGCCGACATGAGAAGTGAGAGGCCGACATGAGAAGTGTCATCCGTCGGTCGGTGGAGAACTTGAGGACGCTGATCCGAGGTTTCTGCAGGTCCACGAAAGGTCAAATCAGGTATCGATGCAGGAGTTGGTACCTAGTCCGTTCTTGACCAGTCCTGGAAAACTTCCAGGACTTTTGGGCCAGAACTTCCAGGGGAACTTTTTGGCAAGAACTTCCAGGGTTCATCGCTCTCCGTGACCCTTTCATCGCTGTAGGCAGCATACCCTCTTTAGTGAGTGAAAAAACACGGACGGAGAAACGGTTCCGACTCGATTGACGTCGTCTTTCCGATCAAAGGCTCATGTTCCATACAAGAGGGATCACCCAGTTTTCACCCTCTGGAGTCACTCTCCTTGTGAGAGTGCCGATGAAATTTGAGGACGGGGTTCCGATTGATCAAGGGATCAGGATCCCGATCTTTCCTCCAGGGATGAAAGGGGACTCAAAGTATAATTCCCTAAGTAAAGCGGGGGCGGGGGCCGGGGCGTGTGCGGGCGTGTGCGTAGAATGCCTCACGTTATCGTGTTTTAAGTTTCAGAGAAATCCCAACGTGTTTTTGCTTCGGTAATGGTAGCACGCTAGACCGGCAATCAAAAGATCCAATTCCTAATTCGATTCCTAATTCGATTCCTGCCCTATCGTTTTCTGACATCCACTCATGCTTTCCGAACTCTTCTCTCCTCCACCTCCTCCAAGCCAGTCGCAACGGCCGAAAAAAAGGGCTCGCCCAAGAGAGGGAGATTTTCACCCGGAGGCAGGAGGAAGTCGCCGCACATGTGCCAAATTAATTTTTTTATATATATAATATGTTATTATGTATATAGATATATATTATATATCTATCTATATCTATATATATATATATATATATATATATATATATATATA